TGTGCGTTTCTGATGGTTGTATTTGAGTTCAGACCTCCATCTTTAGCAGGCTCCTTAGCATTCCCTGAAGCACTTCTAGTCACTTCTGGCCATGGAGTGGTTCACCTTGCTGTACATCTCCAGTGCTTTCTGATGTCATTTATCTTTTTAATATCTTTTGAGGAGAATGGAATTTTATCATACTTTGATTTTGTTTTCTCTGATGACCGATGAGGTTGAGCCTATCATTGTATGTTTATTCAACATCTTACTATGTTGCTCCCTTTTAATTGTGTTTATAGTGTCTTCTTCATGAACACACCCTCCACCAATTCATCATTTACTTTATACTTGAATGTTTTGGGTTCTGTTTAAATTTTATGCCTGCCCCAAATGTGTGCAGATAATGCTCTGTCTCTTCTAAGAAAACTTTGTTTCATAGTTAGCTTTAAAATACCTCAAGTTGATTTTTCTAAAGGTGTACTAGTGTCTAATGGGCAAGATTCAGTTCCTTCCCACTTGTACCCACCAGGATCTATGAAAAACATCTTTTTAAAATCACATTTTACAAACCCTTGATGTTCTATAGAGAGCGGCTATGTATTTTTGTTTGTTTGTTTCTTAAATAGCAGTTTTGCCATTTGCTTGTCTGTCCGTCTCATCGCCACTGTGATAATGTGAAGGATACAAGCTTGCCTGTCTTCTCTTGAAGATTGTTTTATTTTAATCTTGGTTATTGGCGTTTTGCCGTGAGGTTTAGAATCTGTTTGTTTCCACTGCAGCAATGCCTCCTGGGGGTTTTGACTGAGGTTATATTAAATCTATAGATCAATTTAAGGAGAAGTGACAGCCTTATAATACTGAGACTGGCAGCCTGCTGGAAGGTTATATCTCCTTAGGACTTTGCTATTTCTGACTCTGTGCATGTGTGCTGACTGTGTTCTCTGTTAACTCCCCACAGCCCAGTGTTTCATGTTTTCAGATACCATTGTGTCATGTGGAATTTTAGAGTTTTAGGTTCTAGTCCAGATTTGTAATGTTTAACATTGGACTCTTAATACCAGTAACTAAATACAAAACTAGTTTTTATTTATATATATAATAATGTGCCATGAACACATTTACATGGTAAGTATCAGTCTGTGCAATTGCAGTTGCTGAAATACAGACTGATTAACATGAACTTACTTGCTTTTGCTATGGAGCCATTACATACTGCAGCACTGTCTTAGAGAGAGGTGCTGCAGTAGGTCTTACAGGTAGGTCTTACACTACACACCAAGCACCTTTTTAAGACCACTGTTTCTTAGACAGAATCTCATGGAAGCAGACTTCTGATGTACAGCCTTTGAACCCTGTTACCAGTTTGCCCTCTAGAAATGCTGTGTAAATTCTCCTCTTACCACATGTGTATGCTATTTCCTGTTTCCAGACACTATCACCCTTGCTCATAGTCACACCTTTGTTATGTGAAATTTCCCCTCGAGTGCTGCACATAAAACACATAGCCTTGCATGAGCTAGATACTTCATGAAATTGTTTTGTCTTCCTTTTTTTTCTATTGATTTCCTAATGTTCATCCTTTATATCTTAAAATTTCAAGGCTTTCACATTAGACTGACACATGTTTCCTCTTACACAAATAAGAACGAAGATGACTTGAGTTGTCCCTTGACCTTTGACCCACTGACCCCCTTTCCTGTTGCATCAAATTGATCTAATTCATTACTCTTTCTTAAATAATAGTTACTTTTTGATATATAGATTTAAGGTATAGCATCTAATAACAGAATGATATCAATGCCTTATTTAGCATATTGCTTTCTCTTAGGGCATTCCATGAAGCGACTTTCCCCTTTTGTAAGCCCTTAAGAGATTTCTGTATTGCAGGTAAACAATGGTCAGTTGTGAAGGAATCCCAGCTCTCAAGCTTAACTGAGATTCTAAAGATTCTGAGAGTGTATTATGGAAGCAATGGTCTGGATTCCTACTTGTCTTGTACATTGAGCATTACTTGTGTTTGTTCTGTTAAGATGGTAAGATGACTGTGGACAAAGGCACTTAATGGCAAAGATGATCACCCAAATTTAATCCCCATGACCAATACTGTGGAAGGAAAGAACAGATTATGACAGTGTGTCTTCAGAACCCCTACCCCCCCACACACACACTATCTATCTATCTATCTCTATCTCTCTCATGCATAGCACAGAAGTAAATACATGTAATAAAATGAAAACAATTCCAGTATACGTTCTGGATGTTCTGACTGCAGCTAATGAGATTTATAATGAATGACAAGCGACAAATAGAGCAGATTAAATTTTCTAGTGTGATGAGATACCGAAGCTCACATTTGCCCCTTTATGCCACTCTCTTCCCTGTCTTTGCCTGTGGTCATTGCCAAGACACCCAAATGTGCACATATCAGTGAAACATCTTGCCATCAATATGTCCTGCCCCTTGCTTGATCTCATGGCCTTTGATGCTCGTCTTTGTGAAGAAAGCCAGGGTGCAAGAATTTGAAAACACAGTATTCTTTTCTTGCTTTTAAAGGCATCTTTGCACTCTACTTCTGATCTTCCCTCATATAGCCTGCCTGCCCTGCTCCTCCTCCCACCCCTACACTTAGTCTCCTCTGAGCACACAGAAGTGGGGGAAATACAGTAATGATTCTGGGTGATAAAATAGCCAAATGATGCTCTGGTTTCTAAGTCTTCTTTGCCAGCTTTAATTAAGGTTCTAATGAATATGTACTTTGGGGCTTTAGGGTTTATCATAAATGAACTATGATCAAATCTTATGCCATAACTATTAGGAAAACGTCTCCTTTTTATGTTGAAAATTACTGCTCTGCAGTTGTAGGTTACATCAAAAGTTAGAAGTAGCTATATTTTATATATAGTTTTCCCCTCTGGAAAATCATGAGATATTTAAGATTGTAAGTATTGGATAGTGATAATCTTAGGGTAACATATATAAAACGTTTATCAGTGCCATTTTGTTTTGACTTTTATACTTTACATACACATAAGACTGAACTTTTCCATTCAGCCAGTTTATTTAGTTTATGCTTTTTAAGTAGAACAATGTTGTGCTTTTGCAGAAAAACGTTCTATTTATATCACTCTGTAATCAGTAGTCTTTGATCAACCATTTTCCCTTTGTTATATATGAGTTTTGTTCTTTGTGTCCGGTAAGTATTGGAATCTTTAATTTGGAATAGGAATATGTTCGTCTTAGGTATCACTTTCATGGTCACTGTACTGCAGCTGGCCTAACTGTATCACTACACTTCTCTATAAATCAATAGCTTCCTGATACTACTAGAATTTTTCCTTGTTCTTTTAAGACAGCAACAGTTTGTTAACCTTCATCAGAGTCTGACGTGTGTTTCTCTTAAATGGCATCTGATGTGGTGTCTCCCTTCAGTTCTCTGTGGTTTCCTGTTTTTTTCAGACATAGAGAAAAGTCTTTTGAGGTATTAAATGTTGTAGTTGTCTTCTTTAATGGCGCACCAGGCCTAAGCATTGCTGTAATTTCACTGTCTTGTAGGTCTGTCATTTGTTTTTCTGCTACTTCTCACACACATTCCTGTAATCTTCCCATTCTTTCCAAGTGTTCAGTCAGTAGGGTTTTCTCTTTTCTCATTTCCTATGAGTTGTATACATCCTACCTCCAAAATATATGGTGCTCAAGACCAGAGGTGGTGCCGAGCCCTTCCACAGTTAAGGGCCTCCAATGGCATTGCCATTTAGGTAGCTGTGCCCCACAATGGCTCCGAGTGACAGGCACAGTCAACACCATTTAGGAACTCGTCAAAATTATTCATTTTTGGGCCCCACCCAGAGCCTCAAGAATCACTTAGGTTTCAGATTCTCTGTGACAATAAACCCTTTAAGTGACTTAATCTGTGCTACCATTTGACTGCTGTAGATAATGATAATAATTCAGAATATTCAAGTTGTATCTGTATGAGATCTTCATTGAGAAAATTGGTATTGGAGCGAACCCAGGGAAATTTTACCTAATTTCTGCTTATTTTCTCTGGAGACAATGATAAAGAAAAGCCCAAGATTTAAATATGTGCTGTCTTTCTGAAGCATGCATATAGCTCTTGTATCCTGTTTTGAGACCGAAATATAAATGTTTAAAATATGAATAGTTTCTAACTTCCATCTATTCATGAATAGGAATTTGGCATTGTGAAAGGAGGAAAAGGTTGCTAAGGAACAGATAATGGATGTTACAGATTTTCATGGTGGAAAGGAGGGTGGGTGAGTAGTGGAAATTGCTGTTTGAGGAATGAGAGACAGACCTTTTCTGAATCCCTTCTGAAGTCCTCCAATGTTCTGAGGCATGACAGTACATTAAAAAAAAATTGTTGCTATATGATAAATAATGAAATTTAGCAACTGCTAGATACTGAATAAACAAATTCCTACAAGATAGTTGCACTTACAAAAGAAGTTTTCAAGTTGTATTCATATGGTAGGTAAGAGAGCATGTGTCTTCTCCACAAAAAGCATGTGTCTGAGACGTGGTAGGTGATTGGTCCATAGTTAAACTGCCTTGAGTATACAAAGGAAGAGATGATGACACCTCATACTTTTACCTTCTGATATGCTTTGAGATACATCTTGATGTCTATGAACTGAATAAGAAACCAAGATTCTTGTTGTATGTGAACACCTTACACGGAGCCTGAATTATGCACAATATTTTCAACTATGTGTGTTTGTGTGTGGTTTTTTTTTTTTTTTTTTTTTTTTTTTTTTTCCACGACAGTTTCCCTTTAACAGTCCTGGCTGTTCTGGAACTCGCTTTGTAGACCAGGCTGGCCTTGACCTCACAGAGATCCGCCTGCCTCTGTCTCCTTAGTGCTGGGATTAAAGGCATACATCACCACCACCTGGCTCAAGTATAATACTATTAATGTTATAGTTTATTTCTGTTTTTCACTAGAAGATCCATTTTCATTGACACTTGAATCATTAACTCATCTTTTTTCCTTTGCCCAGAACCATTGTACCATGGAAAGTCTTCAGACAGTGCCTGCATGAGGTCCATCAGATTAGCTCTGGCCTGGAAGCAATGGCTCTGAAATCGACCATTGATTTAACTTGCAATGATTATATCTCAGTTTTTGAATTTGATATTTTTACCAGGCTATTTCAGGTAAGATATACACTTACTTTGTCTATCTATCCCTTTCTTTCCTCTAGCTCTGTGTATGATTCTTTTTGTCACCTGCATGCAATGTACAAAAGCATATGGACAAGAACATACTTGGTAGCCACTGGTCATTCCTCCAAGTTTTAGTGTGTCCCATGTACAAGCTTGGTATATCAGGTCATGTGATCCTGGTAGTTTGCTTGCCAGTATTAGTGGTTCAGGAAAGGAATTATTTTAAACTCCTTCTTTAACTTTTTTCACTTTGCTCATTTTTAAGTCCAGTGGCTGATATATTGAAACCATTATAGGTGGGTGTTAGCCAGAGTTGGATCCCATGTATTTGGCAACGGCAGTTTTTGGATCAGAAGATAAAGGGTAAAGCTATGAATAGTTCAGTGAGCTATGTATAGTGTACTGTGGTCTCACACCACTTTACAAATTGCTTTTCTCTTTCAACAAGTTGTAACAAATATTTTTCCATCCCAACAGATATTCTTCATCAGCACATTTTTTAGTGCCTATTTGATATTCTTTCACAACTTTATCAATATTCATTTAAGAACTCTAATCAAAATTTTGTTTTTCTTTCTGCTTTGTCCAGTGATAAATTTGTGGGTTTTTTTTTTTTTTTTTTTGCTTTTTGACATTCATAATTATTTTACATAGATATTCACAAACAAGTGGCATAATACTGAAACAATATTTTTTTTGCTTCTTTGCTTATTGTAAATATATAAACAGAATTCCTCTAAATGCAAAAAAATAAAAATCGTGTTTTGAATTTGGCTTTGCCACTGAAATGTATATTATTTATTGGTTTCAATTCAAGACTTACAACATGAAATCATCCTTTCAATATGTTTACAATTCTACTTATAATTACAGTAAATGTGATAAGATTGGCTAGACATCAAGCTTAATTGTGTTCTGAAAATATCATTTTAATCTTGAATAGATCATGTTCTGAAAGTGATATTGTTAAATAAAATGTTAGAGTGTGACACCAGCTTCATTTTTTTCCCTGTGCTGTATGATTTGTGACTTTAGTGCTAGCTGCAAAGTCGAGATGACTAACTCATTTAGTTAGAAATCACTGCATAGGATCAACTTAACATAACTCATTATCAGGAGGTAAACAGACTCTGGCCAACAACAGAGTTATGGTGGATTTTACTTTATCACAATTTAGAAATTATAGCTCTACATTATATGTGGGATAAAAAAAATTTAATAAAATACTATAGGAAGTATGGGCTTGCTTATTTCAAATTTTCTAATGGCTTAGTGGTTATTTTCCTGATGTCTGTTGTAAGCCCTCTTTAAATTATTTTTATAATATAATTAGAGCCGTTACTTTTAAAACATTGTAAGAAGGTTTTCAGAGGAATATTGTTACCCAGCACTAGGCATTAACTGTATAACTTGCTTCTGTGTTAAAGATTTCTCATTGTTTGGCAGAACAAAGGCTTCATTTTCAGTGGAAGCCAAATATTCTAAATGATGTTTTGATTCTTTACCTTTGATGTAGAAATCTTCTGTAATTTTCACTGTTAAACATAGCTTCCCCTAACTCTGTTTTTGTTTATTGTTGTAGTTATTTGTGGTGTGTGTGTGGGGGGGGGGGCGTGCCTTTTTAGAGTAGACATTAAGAGCACTAAGATCTCAGTTGTATATTATAAGTATGTAGGCAGTTTCATTTTGGTTATATGCTTACCTCCTCTACCCACACTGCTCTGCATACATTGTCTGATATAGAATTATACTTAAAGATAGCCAAGCAGCCTAAATATTCCGAGGTTTGCCTATCTGCATATTCATAGGGGTGTGAGAAAGTAAAAGCATAGATAATGTGACAGCTGTAGACATGGTTTTGTCCTACCAGCCAGCTCACCATTAGTTATAATATTTAGTCAATAGCTTGGCCTTGTTACCTGCTAGCTCCTATAGCTTAGGTTAACCCATATTTCTCGCCTATGCTGTACGATGTGGTGGCACCTTTTTCAGCAAGACAAATTCATCTCCTGCTTCCTCTGCGTAACACGGTTCAAAGCCTGTACACCAGGACAGTCTGCTTCCTTGAGATTACGTCTAAGACACATTGGTCTTAAAAAAGCACTCGGTGTGGAGTGTGAAGCCTCACCTACCTGTCTCTTTAAGACAGTGCTGCAGTGTTTAATGGCCTCAAAACCAAAAGCAAATAAGTTCCTGTGTAATGACAGACTATTAGTCTGTATTTCAGCAACTGCAATTGCACAGACTGATATTTACCATGTAAATGTGTTCATGGCACATTGTTATATATAAATAAAAGCTAGTTTTTATTTAGTTACTGGTATTAAGAGTCCAATGTTAAACATTTTCATCATTTCTGGAAAGATTATTACAAACCTGGACTAGAACCTAAAACTCTAAAATTCTATATGGCACAATGGTATCTGAAAACATGAAACAGAGTCAGAAATAGCAGTCCTAAGGAGATATAACTTTCCAGCAAGCTGCCAGACTCAGTATTATAAGGCTGTCACTTCTCCTTAAATTGATCTATAGATTTAATATAACCTCAGTCAAAAACCCCCAGGAGTCATTGCTGTAGATGATTTTGCCCTCCTCCTTCCCAGCATTCTCTCAGTCTGGCTCTCATGTCTACATCTTTCTGCCTAACTATTGGCCAGTTAGATCCTTATTAAACCAACGAGAGCAAAACATCTTTACAAAGTACAAAAGGATTATTTGACAGAAGACAGCCTTGATGACCTGGTCAGGTTATTAGGAATTGTTTCCAAACAACCTGATTAATCCTGCAATATCTGAGATTCTTCATTTTTCCGGTTTCTGTATTTACCATTTAATACTTCAACTATACTCATCACACTTATGGCTTCAAATATGAAGAAATTGGCTTTGTGATGTTTTCATTTTTACTGATCTTTATTTTTAAATGCAATTAAAAGTTAAGTAATAGTTTTCTTAAATTCGCTATTATCAAAACTTAGTATTTCCATGGTCTTTATAGGAATGTAAGGTTTTTAGTGCTCTAAGTGCATAAGCGTCTGTTTTATTGTAACTTAAAAATGGTAGTTCTTTAGCAAATAATGGGGCATAGTGTTTTGTGTACCATCTGAAGGTCCATGAGGTACTCTTGGAGTTTGCAGTCTAAAGTCGAGAGCAGCGTGGCTACTTAGGAAGCAGTGAGGAGAAACCAAGAGGTGAAGGGAGAAGGTTGCAGGAATCATAAGACTACCAGACCTGTCCTTCCTTGCAGCCCCCATCCTAAGTCCACGTGGAACTTAAACAACAGCTGGTGAACCTGGGGAGGAAGTGGCTGTGCTGTGGTCTTCTTCCACTTCCTCTTCCTTCTTCTGCCCTTGTCTGTCTGCTTTTCCTCTTCCTGTCAAAGAGAGAGGTGGGGATAGGAAGATACGAGAGTCATGCAATGGATACTTGGACATTTTCCTCCTGTTCCTTTTCCAAACCTGCTACTTGGTTTCGCTTCCTATTTCCTCTGCTGCTGGAAAAGCCTGAGTCCTAGAACTTTACATGAAAATGTCTATGGGGGAAGGGTGGCAGAGGAATATTTGGGAGAACATTCTAGTCGACTAGACCATCAAGCAGTAGTAGACTAGAAAGCATCTAAGAGGGAAGGAAGCCATCAGTGATAGCAAGGTTTCCAGAGAGTATCTGAGTAGAACAGCCCGGCCCCTCCTCCAGCATTAAGTTGGTTCATCTGTTGCATTCTCCTCAGTATATTCTGTTGCTGGTTAATAGCATCCCAGTGATTGGTGGGGGGGGGGAGAGATGTCCTTAAATCCTAGACAAATGAGTTACAAAAATAATTAAAGAATTATTTTCTCCAACGTATTTGTTTTTTCTTTCTTTAAGCCGGGGATGGGAGTAGGGTTCTGACCTCTGGATTACTAGTGTGCACAACAGCACAGACTCATCCTGTCACATAAATATTTCTGCAACAAGAAGCTGCCCTTCTGGCTTAATGTCTCTGGGGATGGCTTTAACCTTCAATTTCATCGTGTTTTTAGTTGTATTTTGATCTGTTAATTGGTTCTCTTTAAAGTTTTAGATTATAACATGTTTCAAGAATGTGTGTGGATGTTAATGGAATCAGCTCCAGTATTTTGTATTCCCCTTTGCCTTGTCCTTCTTGGATGGTGGAGCAAAACAATAAAACGAAAACCAAAATGTCTAGCATGGCAGTAATTTCTCCATTGCCTTTCTGACATATGCTGATATTTTATCCAAGAATTGTTTTATGCAATTTCAGCCAAGCCTTAAGAAGAAAATTAAAAACTTGCCGTAGTTTTCAAGTGCAGAGCCGCTATCTATGTTGCTAGTCTTCTCATTCCTCCTTTATTACCCAATTAGATGTGTCAGTGTGGTGAGGAAATTCCCTAAAGACTTCTCTTGTTAAGTCAAAAAGGCTAAAAAGTTCTTTAGTCCCAAATCATTCTTTCTTGTTATCCCCGTTGGTAGGGGACACAGGGTCCTTGCATAATTCTGCCTTACACATTGGAAACTTGCTTCACAATGAAGAACAAGTACAAGTTTCAAAACAAATGGAAGTCTGAACTCTGCTACAGTAATCAAGTCTGAGATGCCGGTTTCAGCAGCTTGAAGTCGGTGACTTGAAACACAGATTTTTTTTTTCCTCCATGTAGATGATGTGAGTGAAGAATCTGGCAGAACAGATGGAGCATGCTGCCAATTCTTTGGAATAAATGTAACTTCAGTCTTGAAAGTACTGCAGGAATGATTCATCCACACCCTGCAGCAAAGTTGCCTGTTATTGCCTTTTTTTTCTTGTGCCCCGATACCTGGAGAGACACCTAATTAGATTAAGAGAGATTGATATGAAACACATGTTTTTGTGAAAAGTTTTCTTTTTGTTTTCAAACCCTAAACCTTTCCCAGGTTTTTAGCAGAGCTAGGATAAAGCTAGTGTGAGGACTGGACTCTTGAAAAGAACAGCCCCCTCTAAGGTAACCCTGTCTATATGGAATTATAACCCCCTGATTACTATATATCTTAAGCTGCTTGAGTGACTGGGATCCAGGCCTGATCTGCACAGGAATGCAGCTTAGCCTTACATGGCTTTGTGGTTATTGTGCAACCTTTTCGAGAACACTTAACTTTAGTATCATGGTTTCCTATTAAATGAGGCATCTGAGCAAGAAGCTGCAATAAAAAAAAAAAAAATGGGAACGATGAGGACTATGGCAAGCGATATCAGCTTTAATTAGGAGGGTCTAAAAGGGCCTAATGGAGGAAAGAAAAGGGTGGATGTTGGGGTGAGTGATTGAGATTCAGCAAATCCAAAGGCTCTAAGATTGGACAGGGTTTTATATTTAAGAGTAGTAGATAAGGCAGTGGGCTACAGAAAAGTCAAAGTGACAGCAGAGAGTACAGAACGGTGACTGGGGATCAAACTCTCAAACCAGTTGGTCACATTTTCCATTTTGTAGTGATCATATCTTCTCTACTGGGGATATACTGTGTAAGGAACACTTAGTTTTCCTTTTGCCCTCTATTATATTCCTGAGAAACATGGCTTTTTTTTTTCTTTGTCTCAACACATTTCTGTAAAACAAAACAAGCTATTGCCTGTTTGCTATTATTTAACAAAAATTGACCTAATGCTCATAAGCCATATCAACTTAAAAATATGAAGGAGATTTTTCTTTCTCAAAGTGTGTGAAACAGTGTCATTGGTGTGTATTTTTTTTTGTGTAATCTCTTTCCATTTATTTATGTGTTTAGCCCTGGGGCTCTATTTTACGGAATTGGAATTTCTTAGCTGTGACACATCCGGGGTATATGGCATTTCTCACTTATGATGAAGTTAAAGCACGACTACAGAAATATAGCACCAAGCCCGGAAGGTAAGACTCTAGCAATATTAGTGGATGTTATGCTTAAAGAGAAAACTCCCTGTGGTTCACTCTTACGAAAACTGGCCGTGGCCTTACAGGCATGGGAAAGCTGGTAGACTGAAAGGGCTGCGCTTTGATTGAACCTTTAAAATTGATATACACTTTTAATATTGTTGTTAAGTAGAAAGTGATATTAATAAATTTAAAGATTATGCAATGCTTGATTCTCCTCAAATCAGTGTGGAATGTTTTCATATTAGTGGTTTTATGTATAGAATCTTCCAGTTTAAACTTAGGTATGTATGTTGACCACTCAAGTATTGTGTTGAAGATAAAATTCAGTTAGTTTAGTTTTCTGTGCATTGTTTTAAGACAGTTTTGAGTAATTTCAGGGGATTTCTATGACTAAGTGTAGACTAATGTATAAGTATATTTAAATATGCACATAAATTACCTAACAGTATGTAAGGTCATGGTTATATTCTAATTCAATCCCATGCCCTTGAAATTTAGCATGACCCACTTCTTTAGAGCCTCAACATTTAAGTTTTGCTTTTCAGATGACTAATCTGAATGTGACTGTCAGAGGTCTTGGTGTCTAGTCAGTTCTTCTGGCATTGGTCAAGAAAGCACCCATCACTATGGCAAATAAAAGAATAGAAACCTGTCTTTCCCCAGCTCATGTGCGCATCTGTGTTAGGACACAAGAGGCCTTTGGGCAGTGACATCTAAGCCACAGCAGACCTGGGTAGAATGTTATTGGCATTACAGCCTGCCTTGGAATTCTGTACATTTTAGTAATTTTGTCACTGTATCACTAGGTTGTTGCAATTTATGGGAGAACTTTGTTTTTATTTAAGTCTCCCTCTTCTTAGATAGGTTTAAAATGACATAGGACACTTGTGCTTAGTTGGCCTTCAACACCGTCTTCTTAAGTCAGAGTCTAGAGTTCTAGTTCCTTCTCTGGTGATAAAGTGCTTCATGTTTTTAAGCATTTAAGATGGCATATTCAAAGGAACTAGTTATACAAAACACAAGTGGGTCCTATTGAAGCTTCTAGGGAGGTAACTGTTCTGACCGAGTCACACAGGTCAGGTAATCTGTATATCACCCAAAGAATAGATGAATTATTTTTGCTTCATCCAGGGTTCACTCCTCATAATAATTCATGAAGCCAGAACTATGTAGTAACTGTAGTATGAGGGGGTGGGATTTGGATATTTAAAATCTGTTCAGAGAATCTCCTTATAAACAGATGATTACTTGCTTTGTGAAATATCTATCTAAACGGCCCTTTCTTTTAGAAAGTATTTTTTGTCCTCTGGTTTCACAGTAAATAAAACATTTAAATCCATTCCAAGGATATTTGAGTTCCTTTAGAAGTGCTTTGCCTGTATCACAACCAATCAAACATGAGCTACCTTCTTTGAAAGACTGTCTAGTATGTACCAGGTTCTGTGTTTGGTTCCCAGCACCCCTCCAAAGAATTGAGAATCTAAGGAATTAATCTCTTGAGTGACTTTTAGGCTCAAGAATGACTTTTAATTGTGAGCCACCCTGTGAAAATGAAACAGATATATCTCATTATATTCATCATGCTGTTTTGGAGTATAAGGTGCTAAATCTGAAAGTGTGAATTTACTTCTGCCTAAGGAAGGCAGAGCTAGCTAGCTACCCACAGAAGGGTCAGGAGCAAATGATTTAAAGCTGTTGAACAAATAAAATGGAAGCCAAAATTTACCTGTGAGGAATAAATTGTTCTTAATAGCTATATGTAGATTTCACAAATTATTAGTAACAGCACACGTTGTGTGGACTCCTTGAATCTCCTCTGTAATGCCTGATTTTAGAAACACCATCGTAAGGCAGTCCAGAGAAAAAGAAGTTTCTTAAAACTTGACAATTTTGCAAGTATACAAGATGCATAAATAGGTAATTACTTTTAAAATATTAACCACTCAATTTTTATAGTTATGTGTTCAATTCAATGTCAAAGTATACATGTTTTCTCAAATACATGGTGCCTACAATCTCTGAGATTTCTACATTTTATTATATATATACACACACACACACACACACACACACACACACACACACACACATATATATATTATTTACTTCTACATTTATTGTATACATTTCTGAATAAGATGCTTTGGAAAGGTTTATTTACTGAATGTATGTGTATGCACTATGTGCATACAGGTACCCTTAGAGGCCAGAGAGGGCAGCACGTATCCTGGGATTGGAATTACAGGTGGTGTAAAACTACTACTTGGTGTGTGTGCTGAGAACCAAACCTGAGTCCTTTTCAAGAAAAGCAAATGCCCTTAACTGCTGAGTTACTTCTCCCACTCATTATATACATTTCTTAAAGTAACATGTGACCTTCAAAATGATAATTGCTGTATATTATTTGAAAACTAATATAACCATTAGTCTGAAATGAGAAGAATTATTTTTATGATATTGATTAATAATATCAATAATTTAAAGGTTGGTATATTATAATTAGGGTCTCCCAAGGGAATCTGTTTAGACTAATTTGAAAACACCCTTTTTGACAGTTCTTTCAACAATTCCTCCTTTCATAAGCCTAGTTTTCTTGATAAATGAAATGTCATTGTGCTACTAAGCATATGAGGTTACTAAATATAGTGGCAAATCATCCTGTTTGCTAAACTATAGTTTATGAGGCTTTTTAATGCACTCTATCAATAATTAAAATATGAAAAAAAATTCTTACTTTTTTGCCCCTTATGTTATGCATTCATGTAACAAATTAATATCTAGTGGCTTAAGATAACTTATTTTTGGTCTGATTGATTAACTGACTATACACTCCAAATACTAATATCATGATTACAAGGAGGAGGGGTATACAGTCCTATAAAGAGGAATAATGTACTGAAATGATTAATAAATGATGATGAAGTTAAGGCCACATCAGTATTTCCTTTTATTGGAAATTAATTTAAGAGATTTATCACTCATTTGAATAACCAGTATTTAAATTACATCTGCTGCTTATGGAAAAAAGCATTTGACTGGCAGGTGTGGAGCAGCTATGAGTTTATCAAGTTTGTAATTGATAGAGTTCAGCTCTTCTGAGATTTGCTTAAAGATGAATCATAGAATGCTTGCAAGAAAACATTAAATAAATCTATGACCAAATTTTAATGCCCAACTGGTAAAGAAATATATTGAATTCCTGGTTCAGCTTCTGTGGTGGATAAATTAATTATTTAGCTATTTACTTCATTTTATCCTTCTCCAAGGATGATTTATGTCGCAACTACATCATAACAGCCATGTTTCCACACATCCCCAAGGGTGGTGGTAATAAATCTCTTGGTAGTTTCCAGCCTCATTTATTTTCAATAGAGCTCTGGAGATACTTAAATGAACAAGAATTATTATCAGTGTTTCTTTCACAGATTGATAACAGTGAGGCACAGTAGAGTTAAATTGAGGAAAAGGGTAGAAATTTCTATCCGGAATTCTAAACGATTCTGCAGGAGACAAAGGAGTAACAAATTGTTTAGTGGTTGTCATGTCTTTTGAATGTGAGTGAAGATCTTTTTGTCATGTTCCCTAGCTACATTTTCCGGTTAAGCTGCACCCGGCTGGGACAATGGGCCATTGGCTATGTGACTGGGGACGGCAATATCCTGCAGACCATACCTCATAACAAGCCTCTATTCCAAGCCCTGATTGACGGTAGCAGAGAAGGCTTGTAAGTATGAGACAATTTGTTCGACTTGCAAATAAATTCAAAACCCAAATTCTGCCTGAGCATGGAACAGATAGTGAGGCTAATGACTCCTAGTTTGTAGTTTACCTCAAGCCTAAGGAATAGACATCCCTTCATTCTTGTTACTCAGGCCAAAGCCATCATTTTATGGCACTCTAACTATATAGAGCAGACATATTTCAGCATCAAAAAAAAAAAAATGATGAAACATAGAGTACCTTTGAAATATTTGTATATTACTAATTTAGAGTAATTCATTGCCAATTATTTAATGTAAAACAAAATTGATTGTTGCCTTTTGTTCTGAATTCTAGATTTCTTTCCTCCTTTTTAATCTTTTACACTTGTTCACTTTCCTTTTTATTTGTATGCCTTTTTCTTAACCTTAATACTGAATCCAGATTTCAAAGTTATATGTTAATAGCTAAACCCAGTTCATGCCAAGCTGTTGATCATTAAATTTTTACTATAACTAAGATTCCCTGCTATTGCCATTGCCCTCTCCTTTTTTTGTGGGCATCACTCCACCACTCTCCTGTCCCATCAAGAATGCATTCCTGTCATTTTTAAGGATATACAGCTTTAAGAAAGCAGTTATATGGGAAATATATGGATGGTTGTGGTACCACATACACATTTCTCTTTTTATTAGCAGATCATCATAAATATGCTGTTCTTTCATGCTTTACTTCTAGGACCTTAAAGATTTCTATATGAACCTTTTGATTTGCCATGATACAGGCTTTTTTTGGGGGGGGGAGTTTTTTTTTTTTAAGTTTATAAAGAAGGTATAATGTTGGGAAACTCTGCATAGACCAGCGTGATTCTGCTTTTGTTTTGTGTATGTGTTACTGATTTTTTATTTTATTTGTTTATATTTTACGCCTTCTATTTTTTCAAAAACCAAGCTCCCCACCCCCCAAAATGAGTAATAAAAACTAGGAAATTTTCCTGAAGGATAACAAACCCTTTGAACTCCTAAGCAAATTAACTTTTAATATGCACACACACACACACACACACACACACACACACACACACTCACGCACACGCGCGCACACACACACACACACAAGTGCATACATACTCAGAGGTATCATCAAATCTACTGGCTTGTTGAATGTCACTTCCACAATAGATTGGGATAATGATTGAATTGGAAGGATTTTTTTTTTTTAAACTAAGGAATGCCATCAGGTGTAATTATCATCAGGGTTGGATGTTTTCTCTTATAGTTAAACTAATACTGTGTGACATAGATGACAGGTGTATGTTGATAATGAGCCAGGGTGCCATTTTTCTCATTCCTGGGTCATTCTGGACATTCTGAGAACCAAATCACGGAGATCCCCTTTGTGCGTTAGGTAGACATTTATAAGCTTTCTCTGAATCTTTGTTATCATTTCTGTAATATTCCAGTATGGACATCTTCCTCAAATTAGTATATAGTTTGATGGTTTCAATCCTGCATGACAATACTTTTAATAGCCACTTTGTATGAGAAGAAAAGTACCCACTTTTGCTTATTATTCCTCATTTAATATTTGTAAGATTTAGTTGCCTCATGTTAGCACTGTATCTTGTTCAGATGAGTCCATTCCCTGACTCAAAGAAAACTCTATGTGATCTGTCTATTACTGTGGGAAAATACTTGGTCCTAGACTTCCAGCTGTTTATTTGTCTAGCATAATTTTCCAATATTGGTTACTCTAATGTTTCTAGATTCTTCATTTGTAGATGAATGTTTTTATTATGTCATCAAAAATACTTTTGTAGACTTTTTCATTAAGATAATCACTACTAGGTGTTTTAAAATTTTTATTAAGCATTATAATATAGAAAACTGTTCAATAGGATTAATCATAGATTTTAATTACTTTTATTGAACTAATTATGCCAGCAATAACATTATAACCATTCTTGCCTAAAAATGACATTAATGACAATAAACGATTTTCGGTACATTCTTGAATAACGATTTAGCACTGTTTTGAACATTGCAGGAAGATCCCTTATTATAACATTAGGCTAATGTTCTATTCTGAGAAGGAAACCTATTTCTACAGGTCTGGGTGTGTGACTTTATTGTAGTCAGTGAAATATGGGATTGTCATATTCTCTGGGTTTTATAACATGCATGCGCATATTTCACAGTGTTCACATCTAGGCAGTGTGCACATGTGTGCATGTTAGCAGAAGTGGAAAGTTCTGAGAGAAAGACTGGGAGGCTATGGAAAAGGCCCACAGAGAAGAGCTAGAGGGTGTAGGACATAGTTATGGTTTAATTGTTGTCTCCCCATGTGGTTTTTAACAGGACATTAATGTGATACCAGTTATGAAGCCTCCAATAAAGTACATATTAATCTGCTTCTGAAATAACTTTTTAACTTTATGAAGAATATACACTAACAGATATTATTTGAAACTACTATAAAAGTGGATTAGTTATGTTATGCATTTCTTATAAGGAAAACAATGCAAGAACATTTTCTTGATTTACAAAAAAAGACAAAAATGTGAGTCTAAACAGAAGAATCTGATGAGAGTTAATTGCAGTAAAACCTTAGATATTTAAAATAATTTTTGTTTGTTTGTTTAAATTCAGTTATCTTTATCCTGATGGGCGAAGTTATAACCCCGATTTAACCGGATTGTGTGAACCTACACCTCATGATCATATAAAAGTTACACAGGTAAGAATATTTTTGAAATGTAATTAGTACATATCTATTTTTGTACTATATATGAAATAAAACTGAACTTCTACCTACATGCTAATGAGAAAGCACACAGACGTGTTTAACATGCTAACACTAGGATTTCTAAGAATTCAAAGAAATTTTATGATCTGTGTTAAATAAAATTTTTTGTTGTTAGTGGTAATGGTTGCAGTCTTACTGGTATCTATCTAAGATAGATAATCAGATGTAGCTTCGTAGATGTAAGGAGAAAAAAATGGAATTAAAACAAACAGGATTAAAAGTGATCCATTTCATGCAAGGGTTTTAAAGTGAAGTGAGTCCTCAAGATCACTGACGGTCATGATTCCATTTTATAAATCCATTTGACAGTCCCACAAACTCTGAGTGAGAACTTGGAAAACCTTAATTTTCAGTAAAGTCAAAAATCTAAATGCAAACATCTTTTGATAAACACCATGTGTTAGCACTTCCCTGTGCACAGGAGGGGCTGCACACCAGGGTGTTCCCTGTACCATTTCCCACGAAGCAACAGATCACAAAATACTAAAAGGTTCTGTAGTGGATTAACCCACCCATAGCTTCTCACAGGAGTTGTGTAAGGTGACCAACAGGTGGGCAGGAACCCTGTATGTCCACTGGGAACGTCTCCCCCTTGTCCCCTACAGATCTCTATTGATTCAGAGCTTAAGTGCACTGTTTAACCTTTAAAGCTTACATTGCAGAACTCCACTTTTTCAAAATGAACTGCTATATAAGAATAGGTGAGTGTGCATTCCCAAAGTTGCCAAACAAGAAACGTGTTTAACTGAAGAATTATTGAAAAAAAAAAAAAAAAAGAATTATTGAGTTGAAGAGAACATGAAGGGGACTTGATCATTGTCTTGCTGAGTCTATTTTTATAGTATTTCATAACTCAAATATGTTCATACTTTATTGAACAATAAAGGTCAAAGAGGGTAAAAAAATGTTTATTGGTTTCAGTAGCCATAGTCTTGATATGCTCAAGTGTGAGGGATACATATCATGCATATGTACTCTTTGTGGAAGGCATTTAAAATTTAATATACAGCTACCATTCTTACATTGTGTAGCAATTTCACATTGTATTTTCTAATAGATATAATGAGATGCTTGGGCTTGTAGGCTACAGAAAGTGTGGTAGCAGCATGCATGCATGACAAGCAAACATTGCTTATCTTTCATCCTAAGATATCTAAGAAATAAAATATAATGTCCAGACAGCACCTTTTAAATTTGACAATGAAGTGACATGAGTGTGACATTTACAAAAACAAACAAACCAAGACCAAGTCATTTATCTTGCCATTCTTAAACTGTTGATACTGTCTTTAGAATCCCTGTGGCTGTTAAAGCAAGTCTGTTCTTAAAAATAATGACATAAACCATTAAATAACCAACCCAGAGTATTTAGATAAATATATACATATACATACATACATACATACATACATACATACATACATACATACATACAAAATTGGTGCCAAGATCTCAGATGTTTTAAGAATTGATTTTGGAGATCAAATTGAATATCAACTTAAAACATGTCCTTAAATGGTAACATAATTCTGAAAAGTTCAAGTACAGGAAACTTACTGTGAGTCATTGTACTTGAGGAAATTCAATACTAATACTTCGTGCTTAGAAAATTGTTAATGTCAGTGCCTTTTCCCTGTATTCCAGGAACAATACGAGCTATATTGTGAAATGGGCTCCACTTTTCAGCTTTGTAAGATCTGTGCAGAGAATGACAAAGACGTAAAGATTGAGCCTTGTGGACATCTGATGTGCACCTCGTGCCTTACTGCGTGGCAGGTACAGCCAAGTTTCCTGTAGCCCCAGGGCCCCATCTCTACTTCCCCAACCACACTTCCCCTTCGGGTTCTACATCTGAATGATTCAGGAAGTAATACTCAAATAGTAGTGTGTGCGTGTGCGTGCGTGCATGCGTGCGTGCGTGCGTGCATGTGTGTGTGTGTGTACATGCACTATATGTACGTATTATAAGTGCATATAAACTGTTTTGATCATAGAAATTGACATTTTTCTGTTTTATATGTTGATTTTTTTTCACATGTATAACTAAGTTCCTGTTGATTGTACGTGGTCCTGCTTCTGTCATACCATTAATTTCACAACACAAATATTAATTTACCCAATGAGTCCATGTAATCTACCTTCAGATTGTGCTCATGGGAAGATCCTGGAGTACAGTGAACTATAGTAGATGAATCTTATGCTGCTGCTGTCAATCCAATTTTCTTTCTCTTGAGATAATTCTCATGTCCTACGTGTGTCTATGACAGTTGTTTTCTGAGACCCCAACTTGGAAACCAGAGAAATATGTCTCTGAAGCAGTTTCTATCCAAACAGGCAATTTCCAATTTTGAAAAACTTACAAAGACTAACTTGCTTCCTGTTCATGGTTAGGCAGTCACTAAATACAAAACAACTTAATGTTTTAGAAGAAAGCTACACACACAAACACACACACACACACACACACACACACACACACACACACACACCACACCACACCACACCACACCACACCGTTAACTGTTGGAAAAGTTTGGGATTTAAAATGGGTCTTTTAATAGACTTCCAGTTTTAACTGTTTGGGAGAATAGTTTGATCAAGCCATCTTGCAGCTTGCTAATTAATGTAGCCCTGTTAAGCTAGCAACATGTTGGTGTGATTTGGAAAGCAAAACATTTAATTTTTAAACTTTAGCTCTCTCTCTTTGCCTCCTCTTTACAACCTTGAACTTCTGTTATGAGGGAAGGTGGGCCGGGCATTCGTGAAAAGAGGCAAGCTGCCTCAGAGAGTGATGGCACCTTGAACTCATGGATTGGTGATAAAATACAATAACTTTCACAATTTCACAGTCTTCAAAAGGGACTTGCCCTCCCTGAAGAGACTTTCAGATAGGAAAGAAGAGAAAGAACAAGAAATGAAATACAGTTGATGTAGGTTTTCAAAGCCTTCTGTGAGCTCATAGGCATCATTGTCACCTCGGGAAATCTGTTCAGCATCTCTGCCTGTCTCCTTCAACACGCTTTTGGTTTCTATGTTGCTTTAAGTTTTCTTGATATCCTTGCCCTTATTTCTTGCAACCTATTCATTTTGATGATGAATCTGCACAGCATAGAGAGTTGCTGGAGGAAGGAAGGCACTTGATGTGGCATCAGCAAGAATCATTCCCAGCAGATGGGCACTCAATTGCTGTTTATGTTAGCAGCAATCATTTTGTAGACTTATCAAGGCCTTCTTCAAAATGGCTTGTGATCAATTTTGATATGCCAGTGGAAGTCAGGTTTTTCCAGCTGCACCAGATGGACTGGTATAAAATGCTGTTGACTTTTCACCTCCTGTGAAGGGGTATTTAGAACTGCTTCACCCAACACTCATTTGGGATCAGGTCTAGCAATAATGGTTTTCACGTGTTCCTGATAGAAAAATAAAATCTTTATTTTTTTTTAAATAGAAAATACATAATTATAGGCTCCTGCACACTGGACCCTGTACCTCTTTTTGGGGCTGTGGGTTTCAGTAGGTTCTAGGTGGGCTTCAATCCTGAAGTGTTCATGGGAATTGACATGTTTGACCTAGTGCTATGCTTACCATGGGCAGGTAGTTAGGCAGTTGGATGAAAACTTGTTTAATGCACTTTACAAATGCCACTTAGAGTGTAGACCCAAGTGGGTTTTTAAAAGTATGTCTGAATATAAAACAGGAAACGGTGTGTTTAAAGTTTGGTTTTTTTTTTGTTTTGTTTTGTTTTTTTCCAGATTTCTGTAAAGCTTTGTCTCAGTTTGTTGTGTAAAAGGACATGGGATTATTTCCAACTTCTTACTTCTGTAATGTTAATGCTCTGCCCTTTGCATCAAACTCTTTCTGTATATTAGCAAACATTCTCCAGAGGGTGTACGGGCTTCCTCTTTCTAGCTAATAATCAGCTCCCCAGATGCCTTGCATATGTTTTCATATCAATATTGGTGACCATATGTGTAGACAGGTCCAGTAATACTTATAAATTACTAACCTTTGCTGCTTCTCCTTTTTATGCTTAAATACTTCTCAGTTCTACTTTTAGAAATTGAGGAAGTACATACATGATCAAGCACTGTAAAGTAGGGTAAGGGAAATTAGTATAAATTACTCGGAAAGTTCTAATAAATTAGTAACTTATTAAGTCAAGTTTTAAAAAAGTAACAATTCGAGGTGATCATGAAATTGATATAAGACTCCCATTAAATTATACCACCAATGAGTACTATTACCCTAAACTGATGGTTGGATTTTGTATATGACTAAGGGAAAATGGGCAACATTTTTAGTACCATACTAATTTTGACATCCTCTCACAAAAATATGTTTTAATAAATATTCTGGATCAATTTGTGTGACTCTCATGAGCTTTTCTCCGGTTCTATTGTAAACATTTCCATGCATATCCATTCAGTGTCTGGAATAAGGATCAGTGATGGAGGATGGTGCATGTGGGTGGTGATGTGATACATAGTTTTCAGTTAGACACTGGAGGAAAGCAGGGGACATGAGACTGGTCTAATGGACCGTGCTGCAGGTCATCTGCAGACAGCCTCCTGGAGTGCTTGTTCTGGACAGTTCTTCCTGAGAAGGCACTGATCTTCAGAGACCTTTGCCAGCTTTCCCCCTGAGAAGGAGATTTAAAACTTGTAGCCATGGGGATCTATGTGTTCTGTGCAGTAGCCCTTGAACTTCACAATTTACCTCTGCTTCTGGTTGGACTGCTGGCATGGATGGGCTACCAGACATGGCTTCTACTTACCTTGTTCCTGCCAGGGTTATTTGCAGTGATGTCTGACACACTTTTCCTTTTGTCTTAAATAACGTGTCATTAGGACAAGGCTTGAAATTCCTACAGTGATATTTTGGAGTCTCTGTATCCCAGGGGAATCTCACTAGTGAAAGACACCAAACCATTCTGCTTCTGTGTTGGAATTATTTCTACATTTATATTACAGGGATGACATAGTGTGGTCCTGCTGACCAGGACATCTGTGTGCAAAGCAAAGCTTTCTATTTAGTGCATGAACAGCAATATTTTGTGATCCCTTAAACAAGCTACTAAAAATACTCCTTTATTAAGAACAAGTATTATTTTCATTCAATCAAAATATTGTTGAGGAGCTGAAGGGGTGTCTCTGTAGTTTAGAGCCCTGGCTGCTCTTCCAGAGGTCTGAGTTCAATTCGCAGCACCCCGTGGTAGCTCGCAGCCATCTATAACTGTAGTCCCATGGGGATCTGATGCCCTCTTCTGGTATGCAGATGTAAATGCAGACAAAACACCCACATACATTAATTACATAAATAAACCTTTAACAAAAACATAGTTGAAGAGCATTCACTCTTTTAACAGCCTCTTCCCTGGAACCTCAGTTTGAGGCTTCCTGGACTTAGTTGATTGTATGTGGATGAGCAGAACACAACTATGGAGCAATTCTTTTGTTCTGTAACATATTGTCAAACCTGGGATCCTGAAGGGTACACATTATGGGAAATTTCTGAGTGTTGGAGCTCTGGGCTGAAGGGCAGATTCTAACAGATTTCTCTCTTTTTTACATTGCTTATGTTCCAAAATGATATAGTATAGAATCATTTGTTTACCTTTTGGTTTTATTTCATGGAATTGTTCACTTTTCCTCTCAGAGAAAAAGTGAAGTATTTAAGGTAGATCATGACCAGCAAAAATCTACTGCTTTAGTTATCCAGCAACCATACCCTTTGATAGAAGCAAACCTGGACACTTTAATGTTCATTCCCAATGACCTCAGGTCTGTTTTTATTTATTTTAGAACTGTATCTTGAGCAGCTGGTGACTTCTATACCAGCCTCTGCGCTAAAGAAAGTACGGACATAGTTTCTACTTGCAATTAGTCCTGAAAGTTTTGTAGACTGGATTGGGGCTGATAATTACCTGAGCCGAGTGTCTGCTTTTCCTGCAGCTTCATTTATAAGCTTTAGGGTGTTTCCTCATACTCTACAGTTCAGTGGTTGGGTGTGCTGATATGAAAATCACTTCAGGGCAATGCCTGCCTGCTAAAAGTTAGGATGAATCAATCTGAGTCCAATGGGCAACACTGAACCTGGATAGTGAATCATAATGTGTTCAAGAAGTGTATTTTTAGCAAGTCATTCTTCACCAGAATTGTCTTTCGTTTGATGCCCTATTCTGATGCCATTGAAATTCATTGGGGACTTAACTTTTGTTGTAATTAACAGCAAACCTAAGAGGGGCACAGTAGTGGTAGCTGTTACAGCTGTCAGTGGTTGCTGTTTAATTGCTGTTATAATGGCCCATTAGTCATGCCCCCGCAAAGAGGTGTTAGATTTTTTTCTTTTCATTTTTGAAACATGTGTTATGTAATAAATTGAATAACCATGGAAAGGTTTGTACAGAATACCAAATAAGTTAAATAAGCATCTTTCCAGGCGCCTTTGAAATAGCATTCACCTGGGCGCGGCATCTCTTTCTACCCTTGCTCAGTAAAGCTTGCAGGCTCCTGCTCACTTTCACATCCTTGCAGTCTCTGGTGGTACATCCTTCCTTTGTGCACAGTCTATAGACCCCATAGTGCAGCCTGTCACATCACTGCATGGAAAGTAAAGTAAGGAATTGTGCGTTGTTTTATAGAGTCTGTTAAATGGCCTCTGGGCTTTCAAATGGCACAGACAGTAAACACAGTTTAAGTCTCCCCAAATAAAATGACCATCTCTGTCAATTCTGGGCAGCTGTATTTTTGAATTGCTGCCAAGAACTTTAATTTAATTAAAGAAAAGTGAACTTCTTCTGTGATTTTTCTTTCCCAGTATTTTAATTCAGCCAGTTTTGAAGGGGAAGACATTGCAGTGTCCAAAATGGTAATTAGAAAAAGGGAATACATGCAAATCTGTGAGCTTGGGTTTAATATCCTGTGATTAAAGAGAGCTCAGGGGGCAGGCGGGAGTTGAGCTCAATGCTTCTATCTTAGTAAGCAATGGATATTATTCTAACTTGTTTTAAAAACACTGTTCAAATTTCTACCCTTACTGAAATTATTTTTAACGAAAGCTAAAATAATACTTGCCTTCAAGAATGTTTAAAATGGACACTTCACACTTTGACTTCCGGTGCATCTTTTTTGAGGTAGTGTGGTAGAGTGAGGCTTCTCTTTCACTGGAGGAGGACTGAAGGAGCTGTAAGATTTGGCCAGAAGTGTTGTAGTGACCCTGAGCTAGCCCAGGCATGGCTAGGCTTGCACAGGGCTGAGAGAGGACGGAGTAGGGGTCGAGGGTATAAAGCAGAGCAGCCCCTCTGAGAAGGCTGATCTCTCCTTTCACCTGCTGAGGTCTGGTCCCTCTTCTTCAGGAATGTTGAGCACTCCAGTCTGGCAGGCCTGAGAGCTTCCTGGCCAGTCTCCCTAGCTCCACCTCCCGTTTTGTCACAGAGGTTCTGGGATTACAGATAAGTGTCATTTTCGGGCATCAGACTCTGTCTCTTCCAGGCCTGCAGGCTAGAAGGAAAGTGTCTTTACCTGTTGAACCATCCTTCCCACTCCAGAGAAAATAAAATCTTGTAGAACAAATGCTGAAGCCCGTGTCTACTGACTAAATAGATGGACTCTCATTGCATCGTAACAGAAATGGACACTTGGGAAACATTAGCAGTTAGCTCTAACACTCCAGTGTGAACCATTCTTTTGAAGATTTACTTTTATGTGTGTGAATGCTTTGCCTACATATATGTTTATATGAACAGCTCTGTCTAGTGCCCATGGAGGTCGGAAGAGGACATTGGATTGCCAAGAATTAGAATTACAGGCGGGTGTGAGCTACCATGTAGTGTTAGGAACTGAAAAACCTGGCTGTCTGCAAGAGCAAAGGGTGCTCTTAACCTTAGTTAAGGAGCTTTTCTGCTTTTGGTTGTTTGAAAGTTGGTAGCATTATGGAACATGTCTGCTAATCATAAACCTGGGCAATGGGAATGACCCTCCAGACCAGTGGTTCTCACCCTTCCCTAATGCTGTGACCCCTTTATACAGTTCCTCATGTAGTGGTGACCCCCAACCATAACATTGATTTTCACAGCTACTTCGTAACTGTAATTTTGCTATTGTTATTAATCATAATTTAAATTTGTGATAAGCAAACTATCTGCTATGTGATCACCAAAGGGGGTCATGACCAACAGGTTGAGAACCACTGCCCTAGATTGAGCAGCAGATTTTAGGATGAAAAGCTCTTTGTTGTCATATTACAGATTGCAGAGCTGAGGTGTGCATCATCCTGCAAAGCAATTGAATGTTTGAACAAAACATCCATTGACTATCATGGCTTCTTTTATTTTGAAACTTACATTTTGAGCATAACAGCGTACTGACCTGAGATTGGATAAATTATGATATAATAGTAAAGTTTTTTAGGGTGAAACAATTAGGCTCCTGGAACAGGGCTCCTTGCCTTGATTTCCTGCACAAGTATTGCTTATCTAAGTATAGCTTTCATCAGACTGTGAAAAACGTTAATTTTCTTACTGGGAAAATTGGAATTGAGACTATGACTATATCGGAGGGAACAAATAAGATAATATCATATAAATGGGTTTATAATAGTCCTTCAGAAAGTATCATTTAGCAGACATCCTTATTTCTAGTTATTGTTAAGCAGTGTTATACCAATGATTATTCATTGGTGTTAAAATCATATTCATCTCTGGAAAAGATGGGAATTCCTCCAGAACTAAATTTTGTTTTAGATACTCTTTTGTTCCCTCAATCCTCACATTTGCTTAGTTTTGAATGTATCTTCATTTGGGAGTGGAATCTGTACAGTAGTTTGTTAAGCTTCAAACTAGTTAACGTCACGTAATAGTCACTATAACCAAATGATGCCCTTTATACGGTGTGTTATCTCATTGTACCTTCCAAATAAGAGGCAGTTAACTGTCCAGTCTATGGCAGTGATTGAATCAGCCCGGTCATGGTGCTCTAATTCAGAATGCCTTGGAACATTTTATGATTTACTGTACAGTTCTCCAGATCTTCCACATCAAAGCTATGAAGTTCTAAGTCACCAAAGTCTCATCGGCTCATCCATTGTAAAATACCAAACAGAAGTCTCTTTCACACTCTGAACCGCTGAAGCTTCATTTGGTCCTTCACTTACTTTCAACACAAAGTTATTATTAAAGTCTTTGAAATATGAAAATGTTTAGTAACGATTTGGGACCTACCTCTTAAAATCCATTGATTCTGAAACACAATTATTGATGTAACTGTCATGAATAAAAAATACCTGGTAATTTCCAAAATGCATAAAACATAGAAAGATGATATAAATTACAAGTAACTAATAAGGAAAAACACACATTCACTGAGACGTCCCATGGTGGGAAAATATGAAATGTGTTTCAAAATGGGAGTATACTTTAGTCCTGGAGCCTTCCATGCATATTATATATGTGAGAAGTCAGAAGGTGGTTAGCTGGGGCCCAGTAGGTGTGCAAGCATGAGAACCTGAGTTTGGCCTCTTAGCATCCCTATAGTCTGTGGGGAAAGGTTCTGAACAGGGAGGGTTCCCAGGACTTGCAGACAAGGGAACTTTGGCTGAAATGGTGAGCTTCAGTCTTACTGTGGAGCTGTCAAAAACCAATGTAGAAAGTAAATAAAGGAAGAGAGCCAACATAGACCTCTGGCTTGCATACACCCAGCCCTGGGAACATACACACTGTACACCACGTATACCAAATTCTAAAGGAAGTGTTTGACTGTTAGACAAAGGATTCCTGTAATAATTTTGAAATAAAATAAATTGTAAGTATAGTGCTTATCTTAAGATGTCTAAGAAGAAATGGTTGGGAAATAGTATTTTTCTGAGCAATAGAGAAATAGTACACATAGTGATCCAGGTGAAACTTGGTACTTGTATTGTTCCCTTTGGGCTCTTATGTAGAGTGTTTATAGCAAAGCACATTGGTTTTTCTACATTAATTTTTCTGTATTGTCTATCATTGGAAATTCATCATGATGTTACTTAAAGTTATGATTATGTATAATATTAACTCACAGTGTTAATGGATGGTAACATAACAAATGTTACTATATCATTGGGTATGTTATATAGGTAATATTCAGGTAGTGGGAGTATCCACTGGTAAATTCTCTGACCATTCATTTTGAACATTTTCCTCCATTGAGGAAGTGAAAGCTACTGAGTAAATTAGAATAAAAGGAATCTTAAATAGTTCCTCTTAACATTCACATGTTGTGAACATATTAAGGACTAAGAGCAGAATTATTTATTGTTCTTCTCCTATAACATATGTTCTTTTTGATCCGACTTCAGTATGTGTTGACAGGAACTTATTTTTTAATTATTGATGCACAGTCCTTATGAGTTATATTTCTGTTCTAGACATTCTTCATCTGTATTCAGTCGACCATATGACAGAAACTAGGGCACTTGGTAACCAAAGTGGCATTTGGAAATTTATGGTTTTGTCTCATTTGCATGTGACAGTAGTTAAAGAAAAGAGTGATGGGTGATGTACAAGAGTAAGTACTTCAGTCACTTGTGAACTGTTTGACCAATCAAAATGAATCGTCAATGTAGCTGTTTACATTTGACATCCATGAAATGCGCATATGTTCAGGCATAAGAAAAGGGGTATTCACTGGTAATTCTTCACTTTGTGAGTGAATTCATCCTACCAACAATAGGTCAAACTGATCAGATGATGTCTTTTGAGATAACTGCTCTCTATATTTGCTAATCTTACACACATTAGTAGTTTTCA